TTTTTTTTTCCGGTTTTATAGTTTCACAATATTAATATATTTAGGACGATCTGTATATTGGGTTTTATAGGGTTTTATTGAAAATAATATGATGTTAAATAAACTTTTTTATAAAAAGACATAATAATTTTTATATTATATAAAAATGCACATTTTATGGCATTTAACATAGTTATTGAATGTTATATGAACGTTTATACAATGTATTTATTCCATTCTGCATGTTTTTTTTTTTAAAATTAACTGGAACCGGTTTTTTTCAAAATTTAAGCTGGATTTTTATATATTTAGTGTACTTATATTAAAAACGTATATAAAATTGTTTTAAGAATATTATTGTAAAAAATTATTTAAGTATAATATTTTGAAAAAAAAATGAAATAGTGCCCATTTTAAAACATTCTTTTTTTTATGAAAAATGTTCTATTATAATAATATTTTGCCTGATATATTCAGACCTCTGTAAGAACTGAACTGTTTTTGAAATACATAACTTAGAAGTGGGATTTATCCATTTTTATTACAACAGGGGGGGAAAAATTTTTAAAAAAAAACCCCGGAAAATACCCAAGGGATAACCTAAAATAAGGGGAATTTTCAAAAATCTAGTTCACACCTCGGGGAGAAGTTTTTACTTTAAATAAGAACAAAAACCCAAAAAATATTATTTTTTAAAAGATTTTTTTTAAAAGAATTTTTTAAAAAAGGTTATTCTAATTTAAATTTTTCCCAAAAAATATTGTATTTAAAAAAATTTTTTTTGCCATAATTTTCCAAAAAAAATTTATACTTGTATTCTAATCTAAGTGACACTAAATATCATGGCAATTATCCATTTATGCGAATTTTTAAAATCACGGTCCCGAACGTAGTCGGATACCTTAATATGCAATTTTTTTCAACTAAAATAATTTCAATTTGCTATAATTTTTTTGAATTTACCATACGGGACTGAAAAGTCTATGGGAGATTTTTAAAGGAGTTTTTTCTTCTTTATTTTAAACAAATGTACTTTTCTAACTTGAAAAAAAATTATATTTTAAAATAATACGTCTTGAATTACTGACATGAAAGAATTAAACATTTTCAGTAGATGTTATTGAATTGACATTACAATCAGTTTTTAAAAAAAACTCCTTGAATTTTGTTGTTGAAACCAATATACTCTATGCACAAAAAGTATAATTGATATTTTAGAGATATTTTTATTTGATAAGATTTTGGATGATGCACCTAACACACACACACCTATTTCTTAGCGACCACTATTCACCACATGCTTAGAGTCACATAGCAATCTCATTTTATAAGAAAATTTAGCTAGTTAACACTTGTCATAATAGACAAAACGTCGAAATCTCCAAAACGTGCACATAGCAGAAATTGGTTTGACAACGACGATTTGTTATTTTTAAAGCCTGACTTATAGTGTTTTTAGAGCTTTTTATAGTGTTTTAAATTCCAGAATCGAAACAAAATAACAACTTTCGTCTAAAAACTAATCGTTGATGAACTAAAAACCATCAACCCCAAAATTTTAAGCCTGGTAAATTTTCTAAAAATTATATTCAATTTTTTGTAAATATTTTAATGGGTTTTCTGAGTTTCTTCATTACTACTTATACATCTTATATTTTGCCATTTAGAGCTTCTCAGACTATAATTATTTGAGACCGAATTTTCAATCAAATTTTTCATCTTCCCCCTCCCGGCCCTCATACGATAATAATGTATTGAATGCAATAATAATGTGCTTTGACGCTAAAGCTAAATATAATCTTAATTATAAACGGTATAAATAATCAAGATAACTATTATATTTTGTATATAACTTTGTGTATTGAGTCTCTACTAATTAAAGGAGTCACAAGCAATTATTATAAATTTGTTCCTAACTTAGTACTTATAGATTAAGCATCAAATACATTAGGCACTACTGATGCATTTATAAGTATATTATATCAGTGTAAATATGTATTTAAAAAATAATGTATCTGCTCAACAGTAAATTTTAAATCTTTTAATTTGAAATTTTTTAAACCTTTATACTTTGGAATTTTGGATGTGCTCACACCCCCATGTAGGGTTTTCTGGCCCCCTAGGGGGCAAACCACAGTTTGAGAAGCGTTGGTTTAAAAGAATGAAGTCCAGTAAAACGTATACTAATATATTTTTATTAAGGTATCCAACTACGTTTCTGAACCGTGACCTTTGCAAAAGCGCATAAATGGATAATTTTCAAGATATTTAGTATGAGTTAGATTAGAATACATATACACAATTGTTTTAAGGACATTTTGACAAAAAAATTTTAAATGCAATATTTTGGCAAAAAATTAACTTAGAATAATTTTTTTTTCAAAATGTTCTACTTTTGTGAAAAATGCTTCTATTATAAATAATATTTTGCCTGTATATAGCTCAGAACTTTTTACAGAGGCTCAACAAGAAGTTTTTGAAATATATAACTTAGAAGTGGGTTTATCCATATTTTACGACAACAGAGGGGAACAATTTTAAGAAAAAACGCCGATAATTATTTCAATGGGTTGTAACTCTGAAAATAATGTGAATTTTTCAAAAATCATAATTGAGCCTCTGTAAAGAGTTCTGAGCTATAAACAGGCAAAATATTATTATATTAGAAGCTTTTTTAACAAAAGGAGAACATTTGGAAAAGAGATTATTCTAAATTAATGTTTTGTCAAAATGTCCTTAAAACAATTTTATACATGTATTCTCTCTTATCTAAGTGACACTAAATATCATGATAATCATCCATTTATGCGCTTTTTTTAAAATCACGGTTTTTAAACGTAGTCGGATACCTTAATTAACAAAATAATATTATCTGTGAGATTTCAAACAGAATACGCTATGTTCTTTACTTCTATTTCTCTTTTAGGTTAAGACTTTGGTGTTATATTGCATTCTTTCAGGAGATATTTAAAAACAAATCCATAAAGAAATATTTGCCATCTGAAAGTTTGTTTAATTGGCATCCTATGAACTCACCGTCATTTCTCTTAAGCAAACAATCAAATTTGCCTTAAAGTTCAAAGCTGAACTGCAATAACAACATCTTTCGCAAGAACAAAAGCATCCTTGCTAAAGCCAAACACCCAATATCACCAAGAAATTTCAACAACATTCCAATAAGAGACGTTCGATTCCAGAGACTCGAGAAACGTTCCAAAAGAATTCTCCCTCGGATTGTTCACATTCCAACTCATTTTGCCAGATATTTCTCCTGTTCGTTTTATGGACAAAACCATCGGTTGTGATCAATAATCCTCCTTCATTCGCATCTCCCATCCAAAAAGCAATTTTTATCGCAATTCCAGAAGTATGGTAATAAACAGAGGAAGACACTAATATCAAGACAAAGAAACTCCGCATAACAAGGCATTTGAAAGAGGTTTTCTTATTACAGTTGCTTGAATCCCGTCATATAATTTCACAGCCCTGGGCTTTTAACAGGATATTGGTGTAATGGCAGACGTCCTGTAGGTTGTGCCAATGCATCTTACTTACTGAGGGCTTTTATAGCTCCATAGGTGGTGTTTTTACCGCGGCCGGTAATGGTTCAGAATTGATGAGATTTTGGGATATGTTCATTAAATCTCCTGTTTTTATTCACCGCGTGTAATCTGCCAGCACAACCTCCTCGTAGGGGTGTTTATTACGTTTAAAATATAGGATCTAAAAGGGTCTTAATTTACTTTTTTTTCATAGAGCAATTGTTAGGAATATGGAAAGTATAATATTCAACAGATTTTTTCCTCCACTTTATAGGGTGGATAAAAGAAGAAGCATTTATCTTTTATAGCGAAAATATATGATGATCCTTTCAGCATCAATGCAAATGCTGAGCGATAAATTTACCTCCTTTTTACGTCTTTGGTTTTTATTAAGTTTTTAATAAGCATTTCTGGAGCATTTTTGAATCTGGGAATTCGTAATTTTATGAATCTTGATTTTTTTTGTTGTTATAATAAGCATTCTTAAATGAAATTTACCATGCGAATATCTTAAAATTGACATAGTGCTTAATTTTGTTGCTGTTGTTATTGCTCATCTCCATGTCTAGCCAATCTAGACCAAGTCCATGACTTCATTCACTCTCAAAATGTCCAACACTATTAGAGGGTCTTCATAAAGATCTTATTTTGAAAGTCCCTGGCAGTCAAGATTGTGTTCTGGAGATGCCTGGCAGGCAGAACACCTAAACACAAGTTGTTGCTAACGCCACCTGTCTGACAGTGTCAGATCGAGGCCAACGAAATTTATCACGCAAAGGGCTGGATGTACATATGTCGTTAGCAATAGCTTTCAGCAACATACGGGCGCGGTAATATTTGGCTAAGTTCCTATCCAATTTTGAGAGAGAGGCCTCTCACCTGTCTTCCTTTACCCAACCTAATGAGAGGATTTGAGCTCGACGGCTATTGAAAGCAACCCCTGCTGCAAAGTCGCTATACATTTACAAACATTCATGCTCTTTTCTGGGATTTGAACCCAGGCCCTACGGTACAGCACAGCATTACTAACCACTGTACCGGAAAGGCGGTATATATCGATTAATTAAAGAAACAATGCAAATTATACAGTAAATCCGCATAATTATATTTTTTCAGTAAAAATTATTTAAAAAAAAAAATATCATAAAAGGCATGTAAAACTTTTTACGTATTTTCCCATTAATTAAACATTTATCATTACTTTTTTGTGAGAAGTTTATAAACATAATTTTAAACAATCACTTTTATCGATTAATCGATAAAAATAAACGGATATTAGAAAAAAAAATATTTTCAAAAAATCTATTTTTTAAAAAAAATGTATGTCTATCTACCCAGACACGACAATATTAAATTTGTTTAAGCGAAACATATCGATAAATCAATGTAAATTATTTTCAAGAGAAAACAGAATAATTATGATAGAAAAATGTCAAATTTATAACTATTATCTAGAAACTGTGACAAGTAATCGGTTATTCTTACAATTAAATTTCTGAGTACATTACTATCGAAAATCTACAAAAAACTTTAGTCATTACACTTTGAAATAAATAATTTACTTACATTAATCGATCAAAACGTCAAAAAAATGATATGTGATTTATTTATTTTTTACACTAGATTTCCAAAACTTCGAATGTATTTTGACTTCAGAATTTTTTTTAACTCATTCAAATTTTTTCAATTTTCACTTATTAGAGAAATTAAAAAGTCCAAGTCTAAAAGCATCTTTATCATTTTTAGCCGGTAGAGAATCATTATATTACAGTGGAACGTCGTTTATCCGAACGTTTGCTACACGGAGCGTCAAATTTCCGGACCAGTTTCTTATGTAACTACATGTACTGTACATGAATACGTTTTCGAACAGTGCAATGATCAACAATTGTTTCACGTGAGGCCAAAAGTGACGGGAAAACCCAACGTCAGGTCATTTGGGAAATTTCAGTTGTGTGATTTGGTAAACAACTGCACGGGGAATATTAGGTCAGTTTGTTTCCAAGTAAGTGGGTATATACGTGCTTTTGTTGAGTTGCGAACTGCTATGGCTTTGAATTCAAAACGGAAGCGCAACGTCCTCAATATAGAAACAAAACTTGAAAAGACAGTCGATTTCAAATGCTAAATGATGACGAGATTGTAAATTCCGTGCAAGAAGAATCCGACCCTGTCGACGATGAAACGGATGAAGACGAGGACAACAACCACGACGAAAGTAGCAAGGATCCATCAAATGCTGACGCGTTTTCTGCGTTAGAGACAGCTATGGAGTTGTACGAACAGCAATCAGAGAGCTGTCCTACTCAACTACTGCTTCTCAAGGGAATCAGAAACCTGGCAACGAAAAAACGAAGGTGTATTTTGGTACAGCGAAAAATGAGTGATTATTTCCCACAATAAAGGTAAAATTGTAACACTTTGCACCTATTTTGCTCTTTCTTCAACCACGTTTCCCGCATGGGGTGATTTTCACTATTCGTATAGTGTCCAATTTCATATACTGCATGGATCGCATTCGGTTTTCGATTATCCGAACAATTGCTTATCCGAACGGTGTCCGTTCCCAACTGATTCGAATAAACGACTTTCTACTGTATGTACATAATATGTCTTTTCTTTTTATTGAACAGAGTCTAGAAGAAAATAAAACATACGCCAATATGCTAATTAATATAATGAAATTAATTAAATGTATATTTCATTCGATTTCCTTATAAATGGATCAGATTGCTGTAAATTTTTTATTTTTATTAAGTGATCCTTTTAAAAATATTTCTTTCCGTTCAAATGATCCAACTTTTTACAACAGAACTGTTCCTCGATGTTGTTAATGAACATGTGCTATGATTAGTTGAAAATTAAGAAATTTTGAATTTGGTACATAACAGCGTTCTTTAACTTTGTCAAATGTAAATAACGATGTGAAGTGAAGAAACTAACTAAAAAATTACTACTCTTCCTGCCCCAAAGGTATTTCTAACCACTATTGTAATCACTTTAATTCAGAATGCAAATTCAGATTTTAAAAAACTTCAAAGTTTACGAATGGATTTAGTTGCATTTTTTTTAATAATATTGTTATATTGGTTGTTATTCTGTTAATATGCTTATATGAGTTTTACTTTTTTTTTATGCTTCTTAAATTTAGTTTTAACAGTATTCATTTAACTGCAAAAAGTACTTTAGTTAGTATTGTGATATACATCAGTACCATTTCGAAGAACTTACTTTGGAAATATTACTATATTTTAGAAGTAATGTAATCAAAAATACAAATTTAATTTTTTCTAATGCGCTTTGGATTCAATGTTCTACACCATAGGTTCTCAACGAGGGCGATAACGCCCCCTTGTGGGCATTTGAGACATTCAGGGGACAGTAAAAGATCCAGAATAAGTAAGGGGGCTTTGAGATGGTACAGAGGGGGATGGGGGCTTAACAAAATATAGTCGTAAAAATTTTTTAAAAAACACGCTGATTATGTAGTAACAAAAGTAAACTTTAATACTGGTTACCTTATGTTTATTGTATGTATTTAAAATATTGTATATTCGTGACAATAGCTATTTCAGATTTGCAAGTAAAAAAAATTGTAGGCTTTAGAAAAAATGTAAGTTAAAAATATATTCTATTAGTAATAAAATATTTTTCTTAAAATTTTAAATCGTGATTTTACCATGTATTATGTACGCTATTATTTCTCTGGAGGTGTGTGTGTGGGGGGTATCGAAATATTCGCTAGAAAAGGGGGACGCCAGTTTGAAAAAGGTTGGGAACCTATGTTCTACACAATGTTGATATAATTAGTTGATAGAAGGTATTCTGATTAGTTTCAGGTTAGGAAAAGAGGCTTTAGCACTTTTTTTTTCAGTGTCGTCTAACCCAAAAATACTCCCCTTTTGCAACATTTTGAATCAGTAAAAATAATTTTAGAAAAATCATTTATAAATTTATTATACATTATAGCATGAAGTAAATGACTATTTACAGAACCTCTTTATTTTTACACAGTATAAATTACATACTGCATAATATAGATGCCCGATTTTATAAAAGTATATAATTATTTTAAAACTGTATTTTACATTGTAACGCCATTTTATACGTGTATTAGCGGAAGCATTTTTCTGCCTTAAAATAAAATAAATTCGAAATTTATCTCAAAAATCAATACTAACTTTTATCATTTCTGCAAAATAGTCTCATTACAATTTGTTTCATTAAGCTGCGTACACAAATAAATTTTATCTCACATTTTTAAAAATTGTGATTGAATCTACATCATGGAATTATTTCCGTTTACATCTGTATTTTAAGTACTGGCAAAAGTAAAATGATAAAATAGTTCATAAGCAAACAACAATCTAAGCAAAAATTAGGTAAATGGATTTTTTGTTTGCCTTTACAAATTCCGTCTAATTTTCCGTAGCATTGCACATATTTGTTGAAGAAGGTAGATAATATTTGTAAAATAATTTGATTCTAAAAATAATCTTAATCAGATTAAAATATAAATCAAAACCTTCTCATTACATTGAATTACATCTGACTTTTCAACTTAAAATTATTCCATAGCACCATCCATTTCTAGTCCTAACATACCCCTCTTCCAAAACCTTCCAAATCCTCCCGTTTCCAATCTGTATTGTTACAAACCTTCTTTACATAAACACCCATCATCTTCAATACCAAGTCCGAATGCACATCTCTTAATCCTCCAATCCTATGCATTCTTAACCTGCTACGAGATTCCTAAGCAATGGGGTATGTAAATACACCCGACCCTCCCCAGGAAATAGAACAAGGCGCAAGTTCAGACCCTTCCTTATTCCTTCCTCACAATGCACTCGAAAAGTCACATGGGTCACTGGCAGTCTAAAGATTCACCCCTAGTATCCATTTTCGAAAGGAAAGACATGCCGGATTCCTTAAAATTGCAATTAAGCTTTAAGTAGTTTTAAGAGCCTGGACTTGTGTTTTAGAGAGAAATTCATGAGTCATAATAGAGTCACTGTAACTAAGAGAGGAAGCCATTAAAGACCGAGGAGTGGGATTTGGTAGGGTATATATATCTATCATAAGCGTAATTTTCATAAAAGCGTAATGCGTGTTGTTTGTTAGGGTATGAGAGAAAGAATGAGTGTCATCTCAGATGTGGTGTTGTTAAATTTTGGAATATAGAATGATCTAGTAATTGGGGTGTTGTAAAGTTAAGTACTGTTCGAAATAGTTTCTGCTTCATGATGAATTGTTCTGGGTTCCGATAGAGAGATAATTGCAAAACATATTCTAAAAATTGCGCAAACTCCCCAAATTATGATTATAAAGACAGGAGAATTTCATCAAATAGCACCCTAATTTTTAATTATTCAGTTTGTTTTAAAAGGAATATATGAATAAAATTATTATAAGAAAGAAAATCAAGTTTCCTGAAGAATGTGTATGTTTTTCTTAAACAGGGTTTTTCACAAGCACATAAAGATAGTGAATGGGAACTTATTAACGCCTCACTATAAAGCAACACTAGGGCATTGGCGACAGACTTCGTAGTTTTAAACCTCGGTCAAATGATGAAGATGATAAATGATCTATCAATCTCTCTTCTTCCAGCTTCCATACTACATCCATACGAGAACTTTGAGCCTTAACAGATTTAACGTGTATCAACTCATTTACAGGCGGATTTCCATCGAATGCATGATTAAACAATACCGACCAAGAGTTCGTGACCATGATCCCTTCGCTATCCTGATCACCGACTTTCACTGGGTAAAGAACAATTTTATACATAAGGAAAAGTCAAAAAGCAAAGGGGCTTCAGCAATTTTTTTCTAAGGTTTGGCGATATCGTTAGTATTCAGCACTGAGAGAGGAGGAGTCGGCAACACTTGTATACAAAGTGTCACGAGTCTTCCCTCGTAGTCGTTAGGATGTAGCAGATCGTTCAACATGGCAGCTCCATTGTCAATCTGCACCAAGGAGAAAAAGAGGGCATTGATTTGCCTTTTGTTTGTAGAAAGTGAGTAACTAGCAGAAATTATATG